AGAGGAGAGGAGAGGAGAGGAGAGGAGAGGAGAGGAGAGGAGAGGAGAGGAGAGGAGAGGAGAGGAGAGGAAGCACATAGATGTGGAAGACTTTAATTTTCTGAAATCCATATGAGATAAAAATACCACCCTAGGTATGAGGAGGTCTTAAACATTTTTGAATACATTGGTTGATAAATTTATGTAAAACATCACTTATGAATTGATAAAGGTGCTGGTGCTACTTTAGAGTTACTTTAAGTAAGCAGAAGGGACGAGAAGTACAGGGGCTGGTTGTAAAAAATTAGCTCATACTGACTAATAATGAGCTGATTCAGTTCACTTTAAATTGCAACACAAACAAAAATGAATATATGGCTGAAATCTGGGGTTGTAGAAGAGCAAACTTCAGGAAACTAAGAAATTATTTATTAGGGTTTACTGAACCAGATAATTCAAGGATTTGAACCTAGTGGCAACAGGGAATTAAGTCAAAGGTGCAAACACTATCTGAAGTTTGTATTGCAAGCGACAGCAAAAGAAAAGTCTTAGCAGGAAAGAGGTAGGTACAGACTTCTCTGGAGGAAGAAGCACCTCATATAGGATATGAAGAGTGAATAAAGAACTTAAAAGGAATAAAAAGAAGTATTGATCAGCAAGGAGAGCTCTGTTTCAGAGTTCAAAAAGGGCAAAAATAAAACAAGAATGGACAAAAGCCTAGTTGAGTTGAAACTTGGAAAGAAAATTAGGACAAGTAGTGAAAGTTCTTCAATCATACAAATAAATAGGGACAGGAAAAGAGCTAAGGTCTCTACAGCTCTCCTAAGCTATACATTAAAAACATTGATAGAGGAGCTAACATAAATAAAGCAGCGGAACCAAATATTCTAAAACACTGGTAAAACATGACAGAAAACTGATCAATCAGTAAGAATGAAAGTAATGTAAATTAGTATACTCAAGGCAGAAACAAAATCCAAAAGGCTTATACAAACTCGATGAGGTATTCCATAAACTCTGAACTACAAATAAGAAATAAATATGTAGATAAAAGTGAAAAATGAGATGGAAGTGATTTCACCTTGTCAAAAACTTTTTACTCCTGAAAGTACTTTTAATACCTATAGTGCAGAAAATTAGCAAGAAATTAATGGTAAGAAACAATGAAACTGATTTGAATCATAAGAATTTTGCAGGAAGTGACTGGAAAAACAAAATATGATATAAAACCAGCATCTTTCCAGAGTCCTAGATTCTCATATTCTGGAAGAATTACTGCTTTTAGTCCATAGTTTCCTAATTTGAATAGTTTTTTTTAGATTTTTATTAAGACCTATTGATCTACACAATTTGCTTTTCTTGAAAAAAAGTTTACTTTGACAAGTAGATTTTCAACATTTTATGATTTGTGATTTCATTATAAAGCAAAGCTAGTTTTTCAGCTATGTGTTTCCCTTCTATGAAGGAATATTGTACAGAATAAGAAGTACTTCACATAAGCAGGGCAGTATGTTTGGTCTTGGATTATGAAAACTGACCTTACTCTTAATGGCATTTAAGACAAGTCATAATGCTACTCTGGGATGGGTTATTGGTGTACAGGATGACTTTTCCTGGGACCAAGCTGTAGGTTTCTAGTTAGATGTTGGAAAATATATCTATCTGAGAGAAAGATGTATTTTTATAAATCCTGATGGGTTAGAAGGGTTAGAATATCATTATTATTTCTAACAACTCCTGCTGAGTTGTTTCTTTCCTCTTTTAGTGGCTCATGGGATGCATTTGAAAAGTACTTGTGCTTTTTTGCAGAAGTTTTCAGAGGATTTTTATTTTATATTGGAGTTCCAGAATGAAAAACTTTAGGAGTTCCATAAGTTCCTTCTGATGAATCATGTTAGAGAACTCCCTGTTAGACTCATTTATAGAGTCTCTGCTAACTCAAGCTTACTACAGTAATTCTTTTTCTTTTTGGTTTTATAAGTACTTGGTTGCACTCACCTAACATTGTATAGATTTTCTCTCCAAGGAATAGAAAGGTGGACTTCTCTTTCTGACTATAGTACTGTTTCCTTGGTTTTTCAAAATATTTTTAAGCAGTCACTGGTAATGTTTGCAGCAGTATCAATGCTCACAATTCATTCAGTAAGGAATATCCAATCTAATTTTCACTGCTGTTATTTCTTTTTGTATTTCTATGGAAAGCTGCTGTAAATATTTTAGATGGATTATGAAGGGAAACTAACAAAGGATATGAAAGAAAACACACATCTATGACAAATCAACAAGAAAAAAAGATAAAATTATGTACAGACAGGGCCTGAACTATCACAGGTCCCACTTGTAGAGGGCTACCAGTTCACAGAAGCCTAAATCCAACATTTTTGTCAGCATCTTGCACTGACTGCTAAGGCCATTCTGCTGCATCTCTCACCTGGAAGGCTGTGCATCCTACTGATATATAAAGAAATAAGCTGGAGTGTATCAACCCAGAAGTATGTACCTTACCAAGCAGGACCACCAACCAGAACTAGGTACTACCTCTTCAAAGTGTCTTATTTCTTGTATGTTATCTGCAGCAGCTCATTTCCCTCACCATTCCTCTTCCCCCACAAGTGATAAAGAAATAAATCCTCTCAGAAGATTTTCCTCATTAAAGCAGGAATATAATTTTTCCCAGAAGTGTCTGTATCTGGTAAATCCTAATTGATTGGACAGGCTGTACAGATAATAGGGAGATGAATAAAATTTACAGAGGCCCTGAATGTGTTTTTTATTTTCATTTCAGAGACTGATCGTGTGAAAATGGAATATCAAAGCCCCAGATGAAAACCCTTTTTCTACATAGAAATTCTTTAAAAGGGAATTTTACCATGCTCCATACACCGCTGGGACTGTGCTATCTTGAGAAGCAAGTTTAAGGATGATGTTCAGACTCAGTGTATTAGCTGGACAACTGGAAAGATGAGAGCCTGTTTTGAGGCTGGGTGTCTTTGAATAGATCTTGTTTGAATTTATACTGTGTGCTGGACTGGAAAGAAAGAAGATTGGGTTGGGGGGCTGATATTTTTTAGTGACATTTAAAATACAAAGCTTTGATTCATTTCACAAGAGGTTTGAGCCACAGATCAAAGCTATTTATGGAAATAGAAATGACACTCTGTTCTTCTAGTAGGAGAACTAGTGGATGACTGCTTTGACCTATTCTCCAGGTGTCCACAGAATAAACAATGATCTAAGATGATTCTTCCATCTGAACAGAAACACAGAATAAAATGTTCATTCATCACTGTCTCTAAATGCACACAGAGAAGGCAGATACCTCCTTGCTATACACCTTCTCCTTGTCACTAGTAGCAACGTTGAATAACACAGGTATGATAACATTCTCCTCTAACTCACTTTCCAGGCAGCAATCAATTTTAATTTCTTTCTCTTCCTAGACCTATGTGAACCTTCCTAATGTTTTCAGTACATATAAAATAGACCATAAATAAACATGGGTCTCATTTGAAGTTTTAGATGGTCTCATGTATGTCTATCTACAATTTTCTGTCAATGTTGCCCTATACTTTAATCCATGCATCTGTCCATTTCTTTTTTGTCAGAAGTTAATCTTAGCTCTCTAGGAAAATGTCAGACCTGAACACCAGCTCCCTTTGAGAGTAGTTCCATTCATTAAGTCTTATCATTCCCTCAGAAGACCATATTTCCAAACTATTTTGAATATATTAAAAGAACATTTGAAGCAAACAGCTGTAAATTAATTAATTACAATTTATTATAGTTCATTCTTTGTTCATTCACTTATAATAGCATTTTCCTTATGATTTTTTATATGTTTCTTTCTATCTTTAAAATTTTGGGTTAATTGTCTTTAGTAGGGTTTCTTATACCAAACAAACTACTGGATCTGGACAGTGTGTAGTTTTTCATTTAATGATATATATTTCTGTTTATGAAAAATATAGAGAGAAATAGAGAGCTGAAACAAGTAATCCAGCACCTTTTTCATTGTCCTTAGGAAGGGATAGGGATGCATGTATTGGAACTGGGGAGAGGGGAAAGTGCTGTAAAAATGAAAGATAATCAATGTCCTAAAATGGCCATTAATACCATCACCATACCAGTTTAAGCTGAAGGAGTCTTGGCATTTCTTGATGAATACACTCAGTATATTTTAAACAGGTGCAGGTAGGTATGTCCCCAGAGAACATATCCAGCTCAGTGCACTTATTACTTTTTCAACTTGGAAACACAATGGATGGGGAAAATCTTTGTCATCCAATATGCACCCAGCCTGATCCCAAAAAGGAAAAAGCTGAAGACTACTCAGCCTTCCATAAAAGTTAAAATATTGTCTAAGATCATCTAAATAGTCACATAAATAAAATAATTTTCCATATTCCTTGTTAATCTCTTACATTTGACAATACTTCCAGGAAACACGGACTTAGTTGTAAACTGTTTATAAAATATCCTAGATATATCTTCCTCAAACATTA